TGAGCCAAGTGTTTGGGGAACTGGTTATGTGCATCTTTTACAAATTCCGAGTTCAGTGATATTACATGGGCATGAAATTGGCCTTACACCACAGGAACTGGCAGATGTAAAGATCAGGGCCTCTTTCCTAGAGAACTGATGGTAAACATTTATGAATACAACACTGTTAAACAAATAAATAAATAACAGCTTTAGCAAAGAGCCAGAGCCACAAATTCCAAGGCTAACTTGGCCTTTAGTTTTATTTCCACGCTTTGCATCCATGTAACCATACAGGAATCTGACCATGTATGTAACCATACAGGTGATTTTTTTTTTCTCAAGGACCACAAAGTATATTGTAAGTACTATGCCATGAATTCTCACAACACACTGGAGGAATAAGGCACACACTGGAGGGGAATGAGGGAGGTTAAGTGACTCACCAGGGCCAGAACATGCACATGGATGGTAAAAAGCAGAACAAAACTAGTTTGCATTCACCTCCTCTGTAGGTGTGAGCAGTGTGGTGAGGCAGGTTAATCTGTTGTTTCGGACATCCACAGACTATATCACAGTGCCTGAGATGGAGTCCTGTTTGCTTCTGTCTCTGATCCAGCTTCCTACTAATGTACCTTAGAGGCGGCAGGTAAAGGCCCAAGTAATTGGGTTCCTGCCAGTCACAAGAACAGGATGGAGTTCTTATTTCCCAGCTTTGGCTGGCCCAGCCCCAGTTTTGCAAACATTTGAGGAATGAACCCACGGATGACAGCATTTCTCCCACTACCTACTACCTGTAATGTAGTCACTCTACTACCTGTGTGTCTGTCTTCCCCTGCCCCCGTTATCACACCGCCTTTCAGATGTCATATCATGAGTTGCTTCATGAGAGGCTCACATGGCAAGGAACTGATTTGACTGATAACTGTCCATATCCTTGAAGCAACTGTAGATCCAATCAACATCACCGCGCTCTGTGACAGACCAAGCAGGAGGCCCCAGCTAAGGACACACCTTCCTGACATACAGAAACTATGGGATACTAACTATTCATTGTTTTAAGATCCCAGACTTCCAGTTGTTACACTATAATCCATTTTTAACAAAATGCTCAACAATAAAGAGGTCAACAGATCTAGTGGCCAGAACCTACTAAACAAAGCATCTCTATAGAAAGGGACCCATACTCCTCCAGTAATGAAAACATGGCTCTCCCGGTCTTCAATCTGGACACTTCAGACATTCAGAAAACTTCAAGCTGTTTTGGGGATAAGAATGTTCCCCTCCCAAGGAATGATCAACACCCTACAAAACAATGAGCTCCAATTAGTGGCAACCTGCCATTAATTGACTGAACATTCCAAGTCCTCAAGGTCAAAATGGTCTGGTAAGGGAGGCTGGAATGAGAAGCCCTGTTAAAAGCTAAACTTTCTGGTCATACATGAGTCATTCTTGCAGCTTAAGAGTTTCATTACCACCACACAATTGTGGCACTAAGGAGGTGACCATTTTCAAATCTGACCTGACATCAGAATGTAGATAAACCTGGGATGTGGCCAAAATAAGTAGCATTTGGAAAACCGGAGCCAATGAATACCAACACTTTTCTGTGGAACTCTATGAACAGATGTGAAGAAATAAAGGCCTATGTTATTTTAAAGGGCAGGGAGGACTGGAAGTTTTTTGCTGCAGACAGTTACAAAATTTTCCACCCTGGGCTCTCCAAAGAAGACAGGAATGAGTGGCTTTGGGGGCTGGGTGTGGTAGGCATTGCTTGGAAATAAAGAATTCAGCAGATCCTGGACAGAGAGCACACCAATGTGGCTACATCTGTTGTGGAGCTGCAAACACACTATTTAGCCCCTTATACTGTGAATTGACTTGTTATGATATATTCTCCTTCTTTATGCCTTGAAATCACAGCATTCTATTCCACGCAAAGCATGGATAGCTATGGTACCCACTCACAATCAGCAAAGTCTAATTTGGGGTAGTAATTTTACATGAAGGTTTAGGGGGAAAAACCATCTTTGAAAACAAAACAATCTAAAACAATTTCTCTTAGTGCATATATTTGTGACATTTACCATCTGGGATGGGGTTTCTGTATCCTCTGTGCAGATTTTTTTTTTTTTAAATATCTCATTCATTGTACTTTTAAAGGCTCTCTTTTCTCTTAGTCCCCTTACACTTAACAGCGGTGGGCTTTGGGCTGCAGCATGAGGAGTCCCCGTTCATCAGCTACACTGGTTGTCATTGCACTAGAGACAGCATTTTAGCTGTCAGTTTTCGTTTTATTGACGACAGTGCTCGCCATGTCTCCCTCCCTAAGCAGAGATAACTTAGATCAGTGGCCTGATGAATAAGCACGAAAATCTGATTCAGAAAGGGTGACTACCCTGAGGCTCACGGGGAGAGAAAAGGAACTTGAGGCTCTACCATACACACTCGCAAGGACAAAGCAAAGGGGCCGCATTGTCTTTTAAACAGCCCCCTCTCACAAAATAGCAACGCTCCCTGAGGTTAGGGAACCAAGGTGATAGTTAAAGGAAAGTGGGGTGGGGGGATCCCGTATTACTACTCCTTCATATGACCTTGAGGCAGACATCCCCTCTCCTCCCCCGCAAAAAAACAGTCTGAGACTGAGGGGAAAGTGATGCACGGGAGTGAGAAGGACACTGTTCTGTTTGGGAGAGGGCGAGGAGGCCAGCAGTCTGGCAACCTCGCTGGATTCAAAGCCTGAAGCTCTGTGGATGGATCGGCAGGAGTGGGAAGCGACAAAGAACCGTCAAGTGGGCAGGCTGCCCAGCAGACGTCAGGGATCACAGAAGACAGAGGAAATTCGAGTCTGCTATGGAGGGAACTCCGATGAACACGGTTGAGATTCCAGAATCAGAAGCCGCGCACTGGGGTCGGCAACCTCAGCCGCCGCCCGACTCGGTCAGAAGCTCCTGGGACCCTCGCCAGAAGAAAGAATGGAAAGCAAGGGGTTCTACAGAGAAAGAGCGGCGGCGGGGGCTAGCTTTTCTTCCCCACCCCGATTCTTCCTCAGCACATCACTTACGTAACTTGCCTGCAAGGGATTCCTGGCATCCCCTGCTGCCCCCCCAAAAAGGGGAGAAGCCCCCTCGCCACTTCCGACCCCGCCAGCGCGTGAGCGCCCCCGAGCAAAGTGCAGGAGGCAGATTTGTTCGAGAACAAAAGAACGCTTGCCAATCAGGACGCGCTCCCGGGAACAAGGGGGAACCCCTCTTCGGGGATTTGGAAACACTTTTCTTCTTCCCTTGAGCGATCGTACTGGTGTCTGACACACGCATGGCAACTTTTCTGGGCAGATTCCAAATGCTAAATCAGACTCTTCTCCTTCAACGAAACGGGCTCCCCACAGGCCGCAGGCCCGCAGAAGTTAAGGAGCACCGGGCCACCTCAGAGGCTGTGGGAGGCGGTGCGGAGTGTTCCGAGCACTCGGGCTCAGGTTATTTTCATAACTCCCCCCCACCCCACCCCCCGCGCCGTCTCGGTCTCCTTCTGCCGCGCTCCGGCCACATCAGCGCGGCAGACGCTGGGCCCGGCCGCGCGTGCGGGCGGAGCGGCCTAGGACCCGGGCCCCCCCTTCCCGGCTCTCTCCTGGAGGGTCTGCACTTCCTGCTGCTTTCCCGCGGCCCCCTCGGCCAACTCCGGTTTCTCCTCTGAGGCCGCCCCTCCTCCCCTCTACAACTCGGAGAGGAGGAGGGGAGAGGGGACCGCGGCCTCACGCGGTCTGTTTGGGTTTGGGGTGGAGCGGGGTAGGGGGCTAAAAAGCCATTCTCAAGACGCGCCCCCTTCACATCCCGTCTCGAACCGCACCCTTAGGATTCCGCTGCCCCGAGCCCCCCTCGGCCAAAGCCCACGTTTTCAGCCGGGACCGGGACTGAGGTGACTCCGGGTTCCAGTAGTTCCCCGACCCAGGCGCGGCGTTCTTCTCAGCTCTCCCCGGCAAAAACCCTGTGGCGAACGATCCCTTCTGCCCAGGAGTGTGTATTCAGTGCAGTTAAAAGAGGGACAAATCTTTCACGTAAACTCTCCTTCTGGTGCGTTTTTCTCCCCCTGAGTGAATTCAGGGTAAAAGTTTTTTCCAACTTTTCCCTCCCGGTCCCCCGCCCCTCCCCTCAGGAATCCGCCCAGAGCACCGCAGTCACCGTCCCCACCCCGTTCCCTCGCCCGCCCCTTCCGACTTCCACCCAATCCGGAGGCGACTCCAGAGAAAACAAAGACTGCCATTGGGCTTCTAGGGGGCGCGGGCACCGCCCCCCGGAGTGGTTTGTGAATGGGGGGAGGGGAGGGGGCGGGTCAGCCGAGTCCCGCGAGCCCGACGCTTCTTCAGGCCACCGGCGCGGCTCCCAGGCGTTACTCGGCGCTCCTTCTCGGCGGCCGGCGGCGGCGGGCGGGCGTCGGGACTCCCGAGGGCCAGAGCTGCGCGAGGCCGGAGAGGCCGAGCTCAGGCTGCGGGCGCAGGGGGCCCTCGCTGCTTCAGACGCCGACGGACTGCGCTCCCCCACACGAGTCGCCGGACTCCAGGCTCTGAGGCGCCGGTGGGACTCCGCGAGAGCCAGCCGGTGGGGCTGAAACTTGGGGCCGAAGAAGGGCGCGGGGCGTGGAGGAGGAGGAGGAGGAGGAGGCGGCGGCGGGGAGCCGAGCCTCGAGGCGAGGAGGCGGAGCAGCACCTCCGAGGCGGCGGCGGAGACGACGGCGGCGGCGGCGCCGGCCCGGGCCTGGTGGGGGCCGGACTTGGTGCGGGGGGCGTGCGCGTCACTGTGCACTGGGGCCGGGGGGGGGTGTCGAGAGACTTGGGCAAACTTTGAAGGGGAGCCGGAGACGCTTGTTGCTCCTCGCCGCGGAGAAAGAAGCCGCACCGTTACGTCTCGGCAGAGAAGGCCGGGCCGCCCCCTCCAGCTCCGCGCCCCCTGCCCAAACCGACGAGTTTGGGGGACCCCCGGCGTCGCGCGGGTGCCGGGCGGAGGCGGCTGCGGCGTCCCCGCGGCTGGCGGGCCTCGCCCCCGCGACGCAGGCACCCCAGCGGCAGCGCCCTCGGCTCCGCGCCGCCCACGGCCCGGCCCCGGCGCCTGGAGGACTCTCATGCGCCGGGCGCGGCGGCGCCTCTCCGCAGCCAAGCCTCTCCCAGCCGCCTCGTCTCACTCCCTAGACTGAGAGCGTTGCTGCACTCGGGGCCGGCGATGCGGGGCTCCGGCGCGGCCGTGTCACGTTCGTCCCCGGGCCTGTGCGCCCTGCTGCTGGCGCTGCTGGGCGCTCTGCCCGCGGGCGCCGGGGCGCAGCCCTACCACGGCGAGAAGGGCATCTCGGTGCCGGACCACGGCTTCTGCCAGCCCATCTCCATCCCGCTGTGCACGGACATCGCCTACAACCAGACCATCATGCCCAACCTGCTGGGCCACACGAACCAGGAGGACGCGGGCCTCGAGGTGCACCAGTTCTACCCGCTGGTGAAGGTGCAGTGCTCGCCTGAGCTGCGCTTCTTTCTGTGTTCCATGTACGCTCCCGTGTGCACCGTGCTCGACCAGGCCATCCCGCCGTGCCGCTCTCTGTGCGAGCGTGCTCGCCAGGGCTGCGAGGCGCTCATGAACAAGTTCGGCTTCCAGTGGCCCGAGCGGCTGCGCTGCGAGAACTTCCCGGTGCACGGCGCCGGCGAGATCTGCGTGGGCCAGAACACGTCCGACGGCTCCGGGGGCCCGGGCGGCGGCCCCACCGCCTATCCTACCGCACCCTACCTGCCGGACCTGCCCTTCACCGCGCTGCCCCCAGGGGCTGCGGACGGCAGGGGCCGCTCCTCCTTTCCTTTCTCGTGTCCCCGCCAGCTCAAAGTGCCGCCCTACCTGGGCTACCGCTTCCTGGGTGAGCGCGATTGTGGCGCCCCGTGCGAGCCGGGCCGTGCCAATGGCCTCATGTACTTCAAGGAGGAGGAGAGGCGCTTCGCCCGCCTCTGGGTGGGTGTGTGGTCCGTTCTATGCTGCGCCTCAACGCTCTTCACCGTGCTCACCTACCTAGTGGACATGCGACGCTTCAGCTACCCAGAGCGGCCCATTATCTTCCTGTCGGGCTGCTACTTCATGGTGGCCGTGGCGCACGTGGCGGGCTTCTTGCTGGAGGACCGCGCCGTGTGCGTGGAGCGCTTCTCGGAGGATGGCTACCGCACGGTGGCGCAGGGCACCAAGAAGGAGGGCTGCACCATCCTCTTCATGATGCTCTACTTCTTCGGCATGGCCAGCTCCATCTGGTGGGTCATCCTGTCCCTCACCTGGTTCCTGGCGGCCGGCATGAAGTGGGGCCACGAGGCCATCGAGGCCAACTCCCAGTACTTCCACCTGGCCGCCTGGGCCGTGCCCGCCATCAAGACCATCACCATCCTGGCCATGGGACAGGTGGACGGGGACCTGCTCAGCGGGGTGTGTTACGTGGGCCTGTCGAGCGTGGACGCACTGCGGGGCTTTGTGCTGGCGCCGCTCTTTGTCTACCTGTTCATTGGCACGTCCTTCCTGCTGGCGGGCTTCGTGTCGCTCTTCCGCATCCGCACCATCATGAAGCACGACGGCACCAAGACCGAGAAGCTGGAGAAGCTCATGGTGCGCATCGGCGTGTTCAGCGTGCTCTACACCGTGCCCGCCACCATCGTCATCGCCTGCTACTTCTACGAGCAGGCCTTCCGCGAGCACTGGGAGCGCACCTGGCTCCTGCAGACGTGCAAGAGCTACGCCGTGCCCTGCCCGCCCGGCCACTTCCCGCCCATGAGCCCCGACTTCACGGTCTTCATGATCAAGTACCTGATGACCATGATCGTAGGCATCACCACCGGCTTCTGGATCTGGTCGGGCAAAACCCTGCAGTCGTGGCGCCGCTTCTACCACAGACTCAGCCACAGCAGCAAGGGGGAGACTGCGGTATGAGCCCCGGCCCCTCCCCCGCCCGCCTCCCCCGGAGGGGGAGGGAGACTGCTGCTGGGGGCTTGTTTGGGTCACCCCTCGCCCCTAAACCCCCAGCCCAGAGAAGTGACCTGGGTGGGAGTTATTTACAGATTTGGGGGAGGGAGTTTGGAGGGGTTGGGGTAGGAGTAGGAGTTGGAAGGGAGACCTAGGTGGAAAGTGGTTTGGACAAAAAAAAAAAAAACACTTGTGGCCAAGACTGAGGAAGACGATGATGATGGCGATGAGGCCTCTGATGCTGTGAATGGTGAACGGTATGGCCGGCCTGGGCCTCAGCAGACTGACACTAGTAGAGACTTGTGGGGTTCCCGGCTGCGGGCCCAGCGGGGCCCAGGGCTGTCCCCCGCTGCAAGGCAAGTGGCCTGTCCTCACTGCGGTGAGGCCTGGGGGAGAGGCGCAGCCCCCGCCCTGGCCGGCTGCTTTGTTGAGAAGAGGGAGGGCCTCCTGCAGCGTTCTTGTCAGGCGGTGGTCAAACCATAATCTCTTTTCACTGGGGCCAAACTGGAGCCCAGATGGGTTAATTTCCAGGGTCAGGCATTACCCTCTGTCCCTCCCCGCCCCCTCCCGCCTGTCTGTGCTCCCCGACTCCTTTCAAGTCTTGTAAACCGAGAATGTGGAAGTACTGGGAGGCCTGCCTGGCGGAATCCTAATGTGAAGATGCGAAGGAAATGACAAGAAGGTCTCAGGACGAGCCCGGGGTAACGGAGTGCTTGGGGACATTCTGCTACTTTGTCATCTTTTGGGGAAAGGCAGGAGACTGAAAAGAGGGTGTTTTATTTCCTTTAGGACCCTGAAAAGATGTGGTGACTTGTTGCTTTTCAAAACAGGAATGCATTTCTCCCCCCAACCCCCACTCCTGTCTTTGTTGTAAGAGACAAAAGAGGAAACCAAAGTGTCTCCCTGTGGAAAGGCGTAACTGTGAAGACCGCAACTTTTACAGGCAAAGCAGCGCAAACCTGAGGTTTCCCTTTGGTTGTTAATTTGGTTGAGATAAACATTCCTTTTTAAGGAAAAGTGAAGGACGGTGTGCGTCCACACCCGGTTCAGCCAGAGGTTCTGACTTGGCTGAAGGAAACCTAAGGACGTTTTATTGTTTGTTTTAAGTCAGTTTAATTCAGAACACATGATCCAACAAGCTCTGCTCACATGTTCAGGGAAATCTGCCCCTTCGTTTCTTCCTGCTATAAGCCTACGTGTAGGTTTTCCAATTCCCCCCCCCCTTTCTGATTTGGATCCTTCAAGATAAAAGGAAAAGCATCATGCCCTTCAGCATCATAATCAAAGAAAAGATTTTCTTAAAAAAAAAAAAAGAAAAAAAGCTAGGGAATCAGTTTATCTATTTTATCCTGGTTTCATAAATCTGTTTATAGAACATTGAGTGTGTGTGAGAGTGTGTGTGTGTGTGTGTGTGGACCCCGCCTGCCTCTGCAGTTGGATGGATGTAACTGCTGCAGAAATGCTGGCAAACAGAGACGAAAGTTTGAACCCGGGACCCGTTTTTTATAAAAAGTCATTAGAAGAAGGTAAACTTCAAAGTGATCCTAGAGTTCTTTGAAATGTGCTGGGAGACTTAAAATTTATTCATCTTAAATCATGTACTTTCTTTCTTGGTAGTAGAACTCAGATTCTTTTGCATAATGGTGTCAATCTGAGCAGAGAATCATGGGAGTTAACCTTCCCCCCCACCTTTGACACTACCCTCCAATCTTGCAGGGCTATCCTGTTTCTTAAATGCCAAATCAGAGGGTACTGCCTACGGAACAAGTTACTTGCGGTACGGAGCGCTCAGTTGAGTGGAGCTGCTTCCATATTCAGCAGAGAAAATGGTCTTGTGTTTCAAAGATTTTCATAACTGTCTCGTGTCAGAATTTTTAAACTCCCACTACACCAGTTTTTATCAGCTTTTGCGTTATATCTCTTAAGGTGCATGTGAAATTTGTAAAATAGAGACAAGTGCAGTATGTATATTTTGTAAATCTCCCATTTTTGTAAGAAGATATATATTGTATTTATACGTTTTTACTTTGGAGTTTTGTTTTGCCTTTGAAAGTCTACAATGAAGCCCCACTTTATCACGTGTACAGATCACAAATAAAAAATTTTTTAAATACAAAGTGAACGTTTATTCAGTTTGTTAGTGAACCGAACTTTGTGTTCTGGAAGGAAGGCATGGAAGGACACTACTGGGTGTGTCCCCCAAGAAAAGGACATAAAAGGATGGTATTGATTGTTGAGGTCTTTTCTCTCTGCCTCTTAAAGCTCAGAGCTTAATGAATGCCTGGACTGTCCTTTATTTTATTTTACTTTTTATGTTGTAGATGTTTCCTGTCTCCCTGCACACCACCCCACCACACACACCCCTAACACCCCTAAGCCTTTTCACATCCTGCCTATTGAAAGTACTGAATAAGCATCCCTTTTAGATGCTGTCTGATCTGCGTGTTTACCACCCTTTGGAGAGGGAGTCTGTATTTGAAAGAGGATTTAAAGACGTTTTTGCTATTTTCTGCTTTTCAGGTGTTGTTTTTTTCCTTGGGGAGAATTCTGTGGGTTTTTTTTTGTTTTGTTTTGTGACTGATTGTTTTTGTATTGTTTTTGTGTCCTAACGTGCCTTATCTAAATTGTTAGCTCAGGTGATGGTAGAGGTTTCCTGAGAAGCATTTTTTAGCTCAAGGCTTCACTCTACCTTCTAGGTAAGCTGAACCAGAGGGCAGGCAGCTCCTTGGGATGGCAGTGACTCAGCAGCTGGGCAGGAATAGACTCCACGCCTGACCCTGGCATGGCCTCAGAAGCCACTGACGCTGCCGTGTCCTCTTGTAGAAGAGGCTAACTTTGGAATCAGATTGGGCAGGGAACCACGGCACTGTCCAGGCGTCTGATACTAAAGCAGTCCCTCGGGGAACTGCTCAAGGCATTTGAATACTGGGCAATTTTCTGTCAGCCTTAGGAGCACGGTATTCACCCAGGAGCCTATGTGTCCCACGGCCTCTTGCCATGGTTTCCCTTGCGCCACGTCGACTGGAAGTTTCTGGATTTTAAAGCACAGCAGAACACAGTCCTGGTTTTGTTTTAATTAACAGGCGCACACACCCGGCTGGCATGCTTCACAACCGCGTGCAAAGAAAACCAGCAGCCCTGCACTTCTGTCCAGGAGGGGGAAGCCACAGGGCCAAGAAGCCCTGGGTTTCTTGAAGATTCCCTGGGTTTCCAACATCACAAAGGCTGAGAAGTCATTGTACCCTAGCAAGAGTGTGGCATCAAGGAAGGGAGGGAAAAAAAACAATAACCTCACTTTAGGTTTTGTGGGGTTTATTCAGTTTTTGCTCATAAAATGACACCTTTTAGTCCGGGAACACTGCTTATGTTTGCTTTTAAAGCAGGTGGGAAGTTCCCAAAGGGTTGCTGTTGTTTTATTTTCTTGCAAATGAACTACTGAAGGTACTCAGGCTCTTCCTCTGGGAGCTACAGGGTGCTCACTCAGACAGCAGGTCAGTGTGCCACAGGGGGAACAAAGCCAGCCTCTGAATCAATTGCCATCCCCTGTGTTTTGTAAGAGAAACGTGATCTGTATAATTCCCTTCCCATCGAGGTGAGCTCTCAGACAGGCAATCCTCATCTAAGCATTCTAGAAGATCCGGGATTTTTTTTTTTAAGCACTTGCATCTCGGGCAGAAAATAGGTGTGGAACAGTGTTTGTGAAAGGGCATGTGTAAAGTTTAAGAAAAACATTGGCAAGAGTTTGGTGTTAATCCCCAGATAAGAAGCTGAAACACTTGTGAAAAATTTCTGCAGTTTACAAAACAAAAGCAGTCTACACAGCAACCCCCTATGGGACACCTAATCTTTTTAAGTTAGGTAGGTGAGAAATCTTGGCAAAAAAAAAAATAATAATAATAAAAAGAATGTCCTGTTAACATCTAATCTTTTTAAGTTAGGTAGGTGAGAAATCTTGGCAAATAAATAAATAAATAAAAAGAATGTCCTGTTAACATCTTATCATGAAACAAATAGCTTTTCAGAATGTGCTTGATATACACAGTGATATTAGAACTCCTCTGGGTTGGACCACAGTGGTCTAACAGCTGTAGGTTTGAGCCCTGTAATTATGCTGGGAAAAATCTCTCCTAACTCTGCCATCTTTAATTTCACTGAAAAGGCAGGTAGCTATTTATAGATGGTATATTTTTATATATGCATATGTGGATGGTGAATAGCAGTCCACAGGGCTCCAGGAAATCCTAGAAGGGACCCAAACCACGCCAGTGTGGACTTAAATAAACAAGTCTAGGTCTGTGCTCTTACTTTCTCCTTAGCGGCATTGAACTGATTTCATAAAAACTTGATTTTTCAGTTCTTCTCCATTTGTGACATTTCTTATATCTGAATCTATATTCCTCACATTTCATGCAAAGAAAATAGTTTTAAAGAGTAGGTTTAGAATGGTAGCTCTTTGATAAACCACACTCTATGCCTCCTATTAATATGTGTGTGTTGGGAGAGGCATATAGCCATGCAGAATTTTCTCAATTAGTGCTTCAGTGATGGGAAATGGGGAAGTTGGACCAAGATAACGCTGGCTTATTCTAAGTGAACCTGTTCAACAAGACCAAGGCACCACTACACAGAAGGCCCTCTGAAAGAGACCCAAAGGACGACAGATGAAAGGAAAGAGACCAAATCCACGAAGTAACTCTCGTCGTAGTTCAGAGTGAGGAAGGCATTCCCTGGGGAGGAAAAAAGCAAGTACCTCCACCGCAAGACAGAACCTGGCAAGTATCATATTTAAGTACACACACCATTGGCATGATATTCCCAGGAATTGGGTGGCATTTATTGTTTTTCAAAGCCCCTTTCACAGTCTCTGTTTTCCTCTAGCCTCACAGTTAGCCCAAGCCTGAAATGGGGAGTCATCTGTGCTTTAAAGATAACGGGGCTGTGAGAGGCAAGATTCAGTGGCGCGGGTGGAGGCAACAGTGAGCCTCCTGCCCTGGGTCTGAACCCAGGGTGGGGCCTGGAATCTGCGGGCCAGGGCTCCTGCCCAAGCTGCTGGGCAGGTGCAGCAAATGGGACGACCCATCCAGCAATGAAGAGGTGTCTAGCAAGAAGGTGCTCCCAAGATCCCAGGTTCTAAAAATCCAGTAGGCTCTATGCCCTGGTAAGGCAAAGGCCTCCCGTGGACCCCAGCACCAGTGTTGCAGGCAGTCCCAAGTGGGGGACCTCCAGCTCTCGGCAAATCCCTGTCAAAGCTCTCATCAAATCCCTGGTTGCTTGTCTTCTTCCCCCTGTATAGGTCAGTAAGGTCCACTCTCCAGTTGGCCAACCCAGTGGATGCTCAGTGAAGGAAAAGGAACTTTACTACTGGCCTCTGCAAGTCCAGCTCAAGGGCAAAGTCACCACTGGGCTACTGTCTGCTGAAGCCAAAGCTTGGTGTGTGGCCCTGTCTGCCTGGCTACACCTCCCTCTGCCGGCTCTTGCAGCAAGTGTATTCCCCCAGCTGATAGATCATTTCCCTCAAAACCCAGGGCCTCTCACTAACAGGGATCTTCTCAGGTTGTCTCCAGGACTGTGGCTGTATCTTAGCCAGGTGTGGCCACAGCCTCCTTAGCTCAGCATCTCTGTTGCTAGGGAATTTAGCACCAAATCTGCACTTGTATTGGCTGAAGTGATAGCACAGAGGTTTGGGGTTAGCAGCAGTGATTCTCTCTCACTCTCCCTCTTTAAAAGATGTATTTATTTTTATTGGAAAGTCAGATTTACAGAGAGAAGAAGAGACAGAGAAAGATCCTCCTGGTTCACTCCCTAAGTGGCCACAATGGCCAGTGCTGAGCCAATCTGAAGCCAGGAGTCAGGAGCCTCCTCCGGGTCTCCCATGTGGGTGCTGGGTCCCAAGGCCCTGAGCCATCCTCTACTGCCCTCCCAGGCTTTAAGCAGAGAGCTGGAAGGGAAGTGACAAACCAGGATTAGAACCGCACCCCCATGGGACTCTAGCGCATGCAAGGCAAGGACCCCAGCCACTAGGACTACCATGTGGGGCCCAGGAGCAGTGATTCTCAAAGCAAGAGCTTTTCTAGGATCCTAAACCTTTTTCCCCGAAGACTTCCTGGCCACAATGTAGATATTGTGCTGGGAGCTATAACGGTGGTTCTGCTTCACTTTGGAGAATCCTTTAGGGAGCTCAAGTTCACCTCTTCAGCTGGCTTCCCTTAACACTCCCACCTGCAATGCTCCTTACACTGCAGTTCCGGTACCAGCTTCAGCCCAGATTTTGAGCAGGGGTCTCTAAGAGGTTAATGAATCAGGAGCCAGAAAGGACATTTAGGAGGCAGGGACAAAAAAGGATGAGGAACTAATGTTCCCTGCAACCCACTCGTAAAGACAGGTGTTCAAGTGATCCCACCCAGTGCTACCCAATGTCCTTAGGAAAGGTGATCCCAAGAATTCAGCTGGGCCTAGCAGATTCCAGGAGACAAATTAATCAAAGGAAAAAGTGGGTGGGGGACTGTATGGTGGGACAGGGAATAGGAATTATTAGCAACAATGGAAGAATGGTAGCATAACCAAGTGCCAATTTTACTTTTCCAATTTCCAAGGGGAACACAAATGACACCCAGCATTTCATTCTAGTTTCCAGGAGTGGAGTAGCCGCAAAGAGGGGTGGCTGGCTCCCTGAATGACTGACTTGCTGCTTTGTTTTTTGTGCTTTTTTTAACTTGCTTAGTTTTTAAAAGTTTTGAATGGCTTTGCAATGGCTATAGACAAGTCTTAGAGCTAAAATCCTGAATAACCTCCAGCTCCAGCAGGTGGATTCTCGAGGCTCTGCAATGAGCCAGATGCCAAGCAAGCCCTGTCTTGAGCACAGTGGCTGCTGGGACCTGGTGTCCTGGGATTGTACCAGGACTGCATACAACAAACAGTGCACCTTGCTGGCTGGGCTCACAAGAGATGCGTGAGGAGGGTACGATAACTTTGTGCTTCACAAACTCTTTCTTCACAGCATTCTCAGGAACTGGCAAATGGGCAAGCAACGTCTTTGTCACATCTCGACAATGAGGAAACCAGGTCTGTGAGGCTAAAAGCAGCACTGTTCTGTCACAAGGAAACCCTGGCC